CTTAGTAGACCCTACTTAAACATTCAGGGGACTTAGTAGCAGGATATCAAGAAGATAGGCAGACTCTACGTAGCCTTTGAATTTCAGGAACATACAGGTCCAGGCTTAGGATTCAGAGCCTAGGGCTTGGCGATTAGGGGGCCCCAATATAGACCCCAAACTAATAGAATCCTCATTATGGGGACCCCAAACGGGCACCCCTGACTGTAAGACACGTCCATGTATCACGTACTTACTACCTAAACCCCAAAGGTATGCAAAATAATAGCCCTAAACCCATAATGACAGCCACAAAGGCTATTATTTTACATACTTTGGGGGTCCAGAACCCTAAACCCTAAACCCTAAATAGTAGCTTCCATGTTCTTTTCCATTATCCCTATATAACCCCTACATTCCCATATGATCTAATTTGGGGTCCAGGTAAGTCTCTTGGGCCTCTAATCTAAGTAGCCCGACCAGTTGAAGAATGGGGTTCAGACGGCTTAGGCTTCCAGGCTGCATAGGGTCGTTTTGGGGTTTATGGCTTAGGGGCTTAGACCTAAGGGTTAGGGTTTAGGGGTTCGGGTTTAGGGGTTAGGGTTTAGGGTTTGGGGATGAGAGTTTAGGGTTTAGGGTTTCGGGTTTATAGTCCCCCTTAAGTAAATAGACTACGGCTTTGGGCACATTCTAGTAAGGTCCCCATATACCCCATATTCTATCTAACTAAGGGGGGGTTTAGGGAGGGTATAGAGGCTTGGGGTTGCCGACAATCTTATGCTCATCGGATATAAATGGTGAAGACAAACCGCAACCCTAAACCCTAAACCCTAAACCTAAACCCTAAACCCTAAAGCCTAAACCCTAAAGCCTAAACCCTGCTAGGGGTACAGATGGCTCGGAGTCCGTGGGTTATGACACCAAGTCAAAGGCCCCTAAGTCCCTCCCATACTTTTAGGATTTGGGGGTTTCCCAAAATTGGGGGTACCTTCTGCAGGTCCCTATAATAAGGACTGTAGTATATTTGGGTCTATGTTTGGGTCCTCCTATTTTGGGAAACTACCATTTAGGGTTTAGGGTTAAGGGGGACTCCAATATGGCCACAACTGCCAGGGAAGGTTTAGGAGTTACCTGGTTCAGCAGACAAAAGTGACTTCTCAAAATGACATCTCAAAGTGCTGGGCATGGAAACAACAAAACGGCTTACGTTGAGTTGAAATCGTGAACCCAAAGTCCGATTCGGTTCTTTGCTAGATGACCTCTAGCAATGCTCCCCTAAACCCCAAACCTTCAACCCTAAACCCTCAACCCGAAACGTGAGGGGATCGGCTACCCACGTCCGACCTACACCTTCCAATGTTTTCTTATGTCTGGGGTCCTGATGGGGTTCCTGATGCGGGTCCTTGCCCAAAAGACATGCCACAGGGTTCGGGTATCCTACATAAGCCAACTAGTTTTGTAGAGTGTCTTTATTTGATTCTCCGTTTTGGGTACTCCAAATCCCAAAACTCTAAACAGTGCTCTGCCAACGCCTCAGTGGAAGGCTTCAGGGTCTGGGTTTAGGGTTTAGATGGTTTTGATTTTGAACCGTTGCATGCACAACCTATGCCGTTTCTGCACGCCTTGCGAAGGATTCCTCAAATCTGTATGGCCTATACCCGGGCCTTAAAATACCTAAATGGGGTGCCCTTAAACCCCTAAACTCTACACCACCGCTGAGGCGCTTTAAGTACCTCGACCCTCCAACGATCTTCTCTCTGCAGTATCCGCAGCGAAATGCAGTTTACTAGTCACTAGCCAACCCGCTAAAACCCTAAACCCTACCCTAAACCTCAAATCCTCTCAGACCAACCAATAGGTTTGGTCCCCAAACACCCTCAGGTAATTGCGTTTACCGGCATGCCGCTGCTAGGGACGCAACAAAAAAGGAAAGGAGTATAGGCCCCAAACCCCTAACCTTAAAAAGCATAAACCCTTAACCCCGAATCCTAAAGCCCCAAATCCTAGACCAAACCCTAAAGCCCTCAATCATGAACCCCTAAATCCTAAAACGCGTTACAGTATAGGTCCCTGATGCCATAGGACTTGTACTGAGAGACACTGATAACGTTAGCCACTTAGTACAGGAGGGAAGGTTCCAGCCTATGCAAAGTCCCTACATGATTGACCCTAAACCCTAAACCCTAAACCCTCAACCCTAAACCCTCAACCCTAAACCCCTAAACCCTAAACCCTAAACCCCAAACCCCTAAACCCTATGATGGAATAGACCTCCTTGTCCTTCATTGCTTTTAGGCTGAAGGAATTCAAAAGGAGGTTATGAATGAGGTTCGGGGACTTATTCAGTCGCTCTTAGGGACCCTTTGACGGGATTCTACGGATTTGAGGGTTTAGGGGGCTTAGTAACTTGGTTCTGAATGGGGTTATAAGTCGCCTAGTTGGGCTCAGTCTGCCTGTACCGCCACTTATAGCCTACTTACTGAGTCTCCTGATCCTCAATGCAATTGCTCTTCGCATAAAGCTAGACTAGTACTAAGCATGCAGGTACGCATCTTGCAACAACTCCTGGTATCTGTAATGGAAGCATGCGGGACCATAAGGTACTACTTAGCTCTGACTTGGATTTTTTCCGTAGCCTAGCTAGTAACGCACCAGCTTCCATGTGCACGCTACGAACCACGATCCTCACTTTTCGTTCAAATGCAACCACGATCCTTCAATCTTTTTCCTTTAAATGTCTGTTATCATCCTTCCATGCACGACTCGCGCTTAGCGAAGACAACAAGAGCTGGCAAGTGCCAGCATCACAAAACACTTCTTGCAGTCTGAACCAGACAATGGAACATGCCCTTGGTTGCTAGAAGGCCAGAGCGCTGCGTGATGCACTTTTGTTCCTTTTGAACCTTTGAACCCTAACATCCTCAAACGGGTCGCGAAGCCACAGCCTTAGCTATGAGTAGATGGCTGCGGCGAAAGCCATGCTGACTAATTCAGCCTCGCGTCAACAAAAAATGTTCATTGAACATAACAGCCCGTGTCAAGACGTGACTGTAAAGTCTACACCCTAATCCCCGACCCCAAAGGTATCTGTCCTGCAGCCGCTTCCGCATGAGCCTGGCAACAGGATTCAAGGCCTAGGGCTTGGAACTTTGACAGCCAAGCGTTGACGTAACGTCGGCTGACTATTATTCAACGCTTGGATTCTATTACCACCCTGAGCCCCTAAACCCTAAACCACCTTAACAAAACACAAGAATCTACATGGAGCTCTGTAGAAGCTTGTTCTCCCTAGATGTCGAAATGCCCTTGTAGGGGTCAGTAACCTGCAGGAAGAACCAATACTTCTGCCATCTCTCAAACCAGCATGGAAGCTGCTATGAGCGGTTTAGGGTTTAGGGTTAAAGGATAGTAGTCTGACAAGGTTTCCTCCTGGGCTTCTGTTAGGGTGCCCCCGCGAACCCTAAACTTGGCCCCATGTACTACAAAACAATACAACCTCCACTTTCAGGAACCTCAAGCATGGGTAGTTTAGGGTTTAGGGTTCATGGTTTAGAGTTTAGGATTTAGGGGTTAGTTCTGAGAAGGCACCGCGCCATATGACATGGACTCATGGAAGTTTCAGTTGCCCGCCTAAACTGCAGTCAATATTGTATAGGTTCAAGGCGTGCGCTTTTGTGAATCAAAGCTTTACTCTATAGGAGTTTGGCTAAATAACGGTTCCCAAAATTATCCGAAATGGGAAAAGCCTGCATAAATGGAAGCACATATTGAAACTCAAATGTTCGGACCCGTTTTTATACTGACGCAGGGACTCCCCACATCGAAGTACCGTATGGCATTCTAAGCTTTGAAGTCCAGCCTGAGAATGGCATCGTCATTAAAAGCTGCGATAACTGTAAACCCTAAACCCTAATATTTTATAGCAATTTCCATTTTGCTTTCCATTATCCCCTATATAATGCCTATAGAACCCCATATACCCTTATATGACCCTTACATAACCCATTATACGGGGAAATGAAAACCCTAAAACCTTAAACCGAAGGTTGACCGAATCACGTTTATGCTTCACGGATAAGATTTTAACGCATACGACAAAGGTCCGAGAATCAAGGATTCGAAGCTGAGATTTATAGGGTCAAAGGAAGAGGTTCATTTCTCGCGAAAGAGAGAGAGAGATAGTGAAACAGAGAGAAAAAGAGAGATATATATTGGATGTTGTTCTAAATTCAAATAGCGGTGCTCCAGCATTAGATTTCCTTGCGCCCGCCCTTGCGCCAGCTTGCGCGCGTGGGGTTTTGGACACGTTCCGCCTAATGCCGCCCTCGTCTTGCCGCTAAAGGCGGGGGTTTAGAACGGCATCCATATGTATATGTGTATGTATATATATATATGTGTGTCTATATATGGGCATAGTCATGGAAACCTACTGCGTAGCTAAGATGGCTTTGGTGGCAAGATGATGATTCTGCACGCGCGACTGGAAGATATCCAGCACCCAGCACCCACAGCACTAAACGTCCCTAAGCCCTATGGGCCCTAAACCTTCGAACCCAAGCCCTAAGCGGGAATCCCGTACTCCCTAAGCCCAATCCCTACCCTAGTGGTCCGAGGCATGTAAGAACTCTCTAGGTTTAGGGTTTCGGGACCTGAAAGCATCTGATTCTTGCAGACTCGATCCTTGGGGCTACTGTAAGTCATACTCCCCTGCAACTGGGTAAAGAATGGGCCGCTCATTCTTACCACTGGCTGGAAAGCTTCAGAAAACTTCTCCCAAATACCCAGATCCCTCCGCCATGAACTCCATATGCTGAACCTTCAAACTGTATCGTAATCTACATCCTGAACCCGAGGCCCTCAAGTTCCTAACCGAACCCTACACCTTAAACTTGCAATCGATTGGGAGCTCGCCTAAATTACTGCTTCGCAAATAGCAGGATACTATAAGGATCCTTACTGAGCACATCGAGCAAATACCACACGCAGTGTCCGTTGTCAGCGAATCCTCAGATCCTGCTGCATCAGGCACCAGAGGACCACCACTGGACCAGAGGACCACAGGACCAGGGGACCAAAACTACACCAGCACCGAGCCACACCTTTGAAAAAAAAAACGGACCCCCTACAATATGCGTTCTAAAAATAATGCTCAGCATCACGCAGAAACCTGACAATATCAAAAGCTATATAATGCCATTTGTGTTTCCAAAAAATTCCTCAACATCTGTGCAGAGCTACCCAAGATTGTAACCACGCACAAAGGAAAAAGAAGCTCTGGGTCAAGCAACGCGGCCTTCTTTTGAGGCAACGGCATGGCCTTCAAAAGGGCCGGAAGGTTGCTCATCTCGGATTGCATCTCCGGCGTCGACCATCGGCACATCTCTGCTTGGTCATCATCGGCCTGCTGCCGATAGCAGAAGACGAAAAAATCTAGGTGGTGGCCATGCGCATTCGACTCCCAGAATTTTGCCGACCATAAACCTGAAGATGATGGGATGGACAAATGCGTGAAGCCGCCGCTTGTGCGAGGCCTCGAGCACGAACACGAATGGAAGCGGGCCGACGGCGTGCTTCCGACATCGAGCTGCCGAGAACTCAAAGATTAGCAAGCGAACCTGCTTCCGGTCGCGAGGTTGCGGTAGGAGCGGCAGCTTGGAGCCTTCCACATCGATCTTCACGACCGTGTGGTCCGAGATGATGCGCTCGATTGAGCAGACTGGCACCTGCACGCCACGCTTCGGGCCGCGCGAATGAGTGTTGGCAAGCGCTGTCGATGACTCCCAGCTGCCACGGACGTTGTCTCCGGCATGGTCCGCGATCTCGATGGTGGGGGTGGCCTTCTTCTCCTTCATGAAGGTTTCGAGGGGCACTCGCGCCAGGACCTCCAAGAAACGGCCGCCATCTGCTTTCCAAATAGATGCACCGCGCTGCCGGTAGAGGCGGCGGTCCGGCGTCTGCAGGACGCCCGGGCCGTAGAAGAACCTCGAATGACAAACGCGCTTGCCTAGAAAACCTTTTCCCTTGTACCCATGAAATGTACTCAACCTTCTTGCTGACTACATCCAACTGAATCATGTACTTACTTGGGCCCACTCTCACATAAGGACGATAGTAAGGAAATACGATGTAATATTAGATCATATGGGCGTGGCTAGCTCCAC